CCATGCTGAAGCATGGCTTCTGGCCTTCTGCATAAAGCTAATGTATGAGAGAGAAAAGTGCAAATGGGGTTTTCACGCCGAAGCTCAGTCTTTAGAAATGTGAGCTTCTCTCCCTTTAGAGTACCAAAAGGTGCCAATGCTAATCTGCAGGACTGACAGCTTCCCTGGAACCCCAAGTTCTATTTTGCTTTTCAAATGCAAGGAGCCTGATCTCAAGCCATTCACTCCACATCCGGGGGCATTCTTTGGGAAACGACATGGTTAAAGGCAGGACATTGCCACACATGTGAACAAAAGCGCACTTTCTCAGAAATCACTTCAGGTCACTCTGATCAGTCTTAACAAAAGCTTAAAAAAACCCAAAACAAAATTCCCCCCACAATACCAAACCAAAAATATTAAATAAAGAACCCACCAGAACAACCACAGTTTGAACTGGGGATAAACTCCAGACATGCATGATCACTGGTGAGATCTCTTAAATCAAGGCAAGCCAAAGGAACCCATTTAGTCCCTGTCCTTACCCAGATACCACTTTCTTTTCTTCATCACTCTCATATTCAGCAAGAATCAGCTCCTCCTCACTGTGATCCAGCTGCTCTAGAGCATCTTCAGCTCCCTCTGAAAGAACCTCCTTGCTGAGCTGAAGAAGGCGCTTTGTCTCATCCTCCTCAGATCTCTGAAAGGAACACATGATCACCTTACTGCTCATGCAGAAAGAAAGCTAGCACACTCCATGCTTTATGCCATGGACAGCAGAGTCCCTTGAAAGTAACACAGGGAATGGCTTGCTGGGGAAACCCCAGCAGGACAAACAAACGCACCAAGGGTGTCTGAAGCCGTTCAGCCCCACAAAACACAGCTGCTACCAGCAAAGACTTGCCCACATAGATGTATACGAAGGCGAAACATAAAGAACCTCCTATGCAAAGGGCCCACTGAACTACTAGGTTCTCAAATTACAACATCCATGTAATCCAGTGTTGGCTGCTTAAAGTGGTCCATAAAAGACCTGCTTGAGAAAAAAAATGGTGTGCAAATAAACCCAACCAAGCATATAAGGACATAATCAAATCCTCTGTCCATACTCAATTCAAAGCCACGATAAATTCAGCACTTTAGAATGCAGGGCACAAGACTTCTCTTACATTTTTTCTCCAGTTATGTGGTTCCTATCCTAATGCAGTCTAGCGCCCTACAAATATTCCATTACACTGTTGAAGAATAGTTTTCTGATCAACTTTGGGTCCTGATAAAGAAGATCTCACTTTTTAAATCTGAAAACAGTATCTTCCAATGTCAATAAGCATTTTTTACCACAGCATTATGAAGAAATGCTGTTAGCAAGTACTACAGAGAAGATGAATTGTTTGCTTTCCCTAATCTCTATAATATTCTCTCATTTGCTTTCTTGTTTTTTTTATCATGCTCCTCATTTCACATGCTTTTCATCATCTTTCAGAGATGAAAGTTCTTTGTTCCACTTGTTTCTTATTTGCTGTTCACCTCTGAACCCTTGCTATTCCTGCTATATGCTTTTGACAGGAGTTGACCAAAACATAACAGAGCACTTGAGATGGAGCATCCTAGAAACTAATAACCTGGCAGCCTAATAAATCTGCCTGTTAAGGGGCCTGATGTGGGTATTTCTGGGAAGTTTGACCCATACCATCAAAAAGCTCTTAAGAGTCAAGAGTCCTGAGGCCAGTTAACTCACCTAAATGGCAGGAAAATGTATCTGTGAACTTTTTATATGTAGAAAAGAGACATGCCTGGAAAGTACAATCACATTTGCTATGAAAGTAAGCAAATGCAATTATTCCCTAGTGGTGAGTAAAGTACAACCAAAGCCTGACCTAGCTTTTTCTTTTGTGGGGTGTCTTCTGTTCCCATGATCTTAAATCTAATCACAGCTCTATATTGCAGTCTTATTGCAGCAGTACATATTGTTCACACATGCTCACAAAATAAAGAGCTTTCAAAATAAAGAAAAATCCAAGTATTAAAGCATTTAAAACAAATGCAGAGGGCCAGAAGGCCGTTAGAACACACCCCCTTTGTATCCACATACAAACATCCTCACAGGAAATTCTCTATGCAAAGACGGTTTTCCAAGTCTGTACTTTAAACAGAGTATCTCACCAAACCTTTTGGATGTCCAATTTCAGGACCCTAACACAAAGAGCTCCCCATATCCCAAACCGACAAACAGGGTTGGAAAATCCCATGTGAAGCCACAGATATAAGCAAGTATGAACTACGCTTGAGGTAACCAAACCAGGAAGTTCTGACCCCCTCAGGATAACTCACCTTCCTCTTTGCTGCATATTTTAACTGCACATTATTGCGAATTTTCTCAAGACGACCTTCTCGCTTTTTCCTCCTGATCTGTTCTTCCTAAAATAAAAGGAGAGCAAAGGAAGGATGAAGTGCATTTAGTCCCAAACCCTGCATGCAACTTTCCTAATTTCTTTCCTAGAAAAAAATTAGTTCCAAACCCAACTGTCAGTACACAGTCCCTTTCTCCAGGAGTGCATGCCTATTGTATGTTACCATGTTACTATAGTTAGAGTAATGGTTTCCTGCCTTACGCAACCGGTGTGGGGATGTCTCACCTCTCATAACCAAAACAAAGCCCTGTGAAAGACAAAGGCCACCACCAAAGTCTGCCTCATGCATTCTTCCATGATATCAGCCTTTCTGATCCTCACACCTTGTGATTTTACATGTCCTCTACAGATGAGCATTTAATAAAATCAGAATGTTTCCTTTCTGAAGGAACCTTAACGCTCATCCAATTCTAACCCCCCCGCCATGGGCAGGGACACCTTCCACTACACCAGGTTGCTCCAAGCCCAGTCCAACCTGGCCTTGAACACTGACAGGGATGGAGCAGCCACAGCTTCTCTGGGCAACCTGTGCTAGCACCTCAGCACCCTCACAGGGAAGAATCCATTCCTAATGCCTAATCTAAATCTACTCTCTTCCAGACAGAGCCATTCCCCCTTGTCCCATCACTGCCCTTCTCCACCTTCAGCTTGTCCACCAAGTCCCGTTCTTCTTTCTTCTGGATAAATGCCGTAACCCAGTCCGGGTCCCCAGCGGTGCCCTGGCTCTCTGGCCGTGCTGGCCCAGCCGAGGCCGGACACTCCTTCCCCTCCTGCCCGCTCTCCTCGGGTGCCAGCAGTCGCGCCTCCTCCTCCCGCTTCTTCTGCTCGAAGTCTCGGAGCCAGGTGAGGGCCCCGCAGATCAGGCTCAGTGATTTCCCCTGCCACAGGACAACGCACAGGGTGAGTGAGGTTCTGCCCCTCCGCGGTGACGGCCCCTCCTCACCGGGCTCACACCCAGACCTGGCCCCTTCGCTCTCCCCACCCCGAGGGGCCTCTGCTCTCCTCCTGGTGAGGCTCACCGTGCCCGTGGGGCTCTCAAAGATCCCAATCCGGCCAGTCTCCAGCGTGCCGTACAGCGCCGCCATGAACTGCTCCTGGATGTCGTACGGCGTGTAGGGGAACGGGAACCGGGGCCCGCCGGCCCCCGCCGCAGCAGCCTCCCCACTCTCCATCCCGCCGCGCCGCTTCGAACCGAGCGCCCGAGACGCACCGCCCCCTTCCCGTGACGCCCGTGTGATGGCGGGCACGGGGCGGAAGGGCCGCCTTTTCCCCGGGGGTGGGTGGGTGGGGTAAAGATCGGTTCTTTTACCCTAGAGCGGGGCGGGGCGGGGCGGCGCGGCGCGGCGCGGCGCGGCCTGGAGGAGGGGGATGCCGGGAGGGGTAGAGGGCCCGTCGGCCTTTCGCCAGGCCGTGGCTCCCGCTCCGTGACACTGGGTGGGTCTGCCTTTACTAAGGCCTGGCACCTGTTCGTCGTTAGTCCTGCCCTGCCGCTGCCGTCCTGCTGCTGGGCTTCGGCCAGCGGAGCGCCGGACCCGTAGGAGGAAAGCCAAGCCTGAGCCCCTGCCCGGTTTGGTGAGGGTGCCCGTCTGGAGCCCCTCGCCACACCAGAATCGGCGTGGGGCTGATCTCTGCTCGTAATCTCACACCCGTTGTACACAAGGACAGAAACTGGTTTATACAGAGGGGAAAAAAGGTTTTATTTAGGGTAGAAACATGTAGCTAGTAATAAAACATACCAATATAGAGGAAGTTCATGTAATATACAGCCGTTAACATAGCAACAAATGCAAATACAGTAATTCCTAACTCATAATGCTGAGCATACGTCAATACTTTACCAACAGTAGTGAGCTAAAGAGTATCACAGAAAAGACTACAAAACTGCCAACAGTCTCTGGACTACCAGTAAGAACTCATCGTGTACCAATTCACACTAGGGTATCAGGGGGTAGGATATTCCTTTTGGTTAAGTAAGGTAAGGCCACACTTTTGCCCATGTTGTGTTGACACTGCAAGTTGGAAGGTGCTCCAAACCACCAAGGACAAATTTAGGAGAAGCTGTCACAGACCAGTGAAGGGCAGCATTCCAACTGGAAGTGCTTGCACATCCCTGTTTCGCGGGGAAAGCCACGACAGTTTTGTGTTGCTCAGCTATCGTGTCACTCAGGCTTTACGTGCAGAGGTAGGAATTCACTGTCCCGTCTAAGATTTGGAAAAGAGTTAGAAAAGACAAACAGGCTGAAGTTCAGCTCCAAAGTCTCAGACTCAAAAAGATTTGGAAATGCCTTGTCAAACGCTGCGTTAACTTACTACATTCATGAAAAGTAAGGGCAGGTAATAAAAAGAGTTCCTAAGGCTACCACAGTGTCTAACAAGCTAAAGTTTTGAGTCAAAACCAGCCTGGAACTTTGCATTTTGATCTTCACCTTAGTTGTAAAGTTATTTTACAAGCCCGATTCTCCCAGTTGTTATTCTACCACATATTCACAGCTCCCAATTTACCCAGAAGCTGGTGCCCATTCCTTAGGCTCTCTGCACTCTTCCTAAACCACCAGCACTTGACTCCCTGCTTCCAGACCTCCTAATGGTTTTTGTCCCACTGGGGTAAGCATGTCTCCAGTCAGCCTCTTCCCAACGTGGTTCTCATCACCCACCCTTTTCAGGTATCCTCAATCACTGCTTTTGTTTCCCGTTCTGAACATCCACTGCAGCCCTATGGCAGAAGTGAGCTGGAAGTGAGCATTCTCCTACTCAGCACACATTTATAATGTTTCTTGGCTGTGTGGATCTTCAAATGCACTTTAAGTGTTGAGCTTTTCCGGAAGCTTTTCCCACACTCGCCGCACTCGTAGGGCTTGGCTCCTGCATGGATCCTCAGGTGGGCACCGAGGGCTGAGCTGTGCCTGAACGCTTTTCCACACTCCTCACACTTGTATGGTCTCTCCCCACGGTGGATCCTCAGGTGCACGTTGAGAGCTGAGCTCCGTCGAAAGCTGTCCCCGCACTCCACACATATGTAGGGCCGCTCCTCAGCGTGCGTGCTCTGGTGCTTGGTCAGGGTGGAGCGGTCGCTGCACCTCCGGCCACACTCAGTGCACTGGTAGGGGTTGGGCAGGAGGCTACCATGGTATATGGGCAAGGCTGCCCCACCGTGGATCCGGCGATGAGTGGTGAGCGCTGAGCTCTGGCTAAAGCCCTTCCCACACACAGGGCACTTGTAGGGCTTCTCACCTGTGTGTGTTCGCATGTGGGTCACCAGTGAGGAGCTCTGCCGGAAGGCTTTTCTACACTCGGTGCACTCATATGGTTTTTCTCCTGTGTGGATCCTCTGATGCCGAATGATGGCCGAGCTGTCCCGGAAACGCTTCCCACATTCCTGGCACTTGTGAGGCTTCTCTCCAGTGTGGACTCTGCGGTGTATGATCAGGGAGGAGCGATCGCTGAAGCTTTTCTCACACCGTGGGCAATTAAAGGGTTTCTCACCCTTGTGGCTCCGCTGGTGGACAATGAGGTGGGAGTTCTGGCTGAAGCTCTTCCCACATTCATTGCACTGGTAGTGTCTCTCTCCTGTGTGGGTCCGCTGGTGCCTGATCACATTGGACCTCTGGCTGAAGGTCTTCTCACACTCACTGCACTGGTAGGGCTTCTCACCAGTGTGGATCCGCTGGTGTTTGATGAGGTCTGAGTTGCGAGTGAAACTCTTCCCACATTCGGAGCAGCTGAAGGGTTTCTCTGCCAGGTGGATCCTCTGGTGCTGGCTCAGGTATGAGCTCCGGCTGAAGCCCTTCCCGCACTCGGGACACTCAAAGGTTTTCTCTCCTATCTGTTGAATCCAAATGGCACCGTTCCTACAAATGGTTGGGTCTGGCTTGTCACCAGCAAGGACAGCCTTGCTCATGTGGGCTCTATCACTGTTGTCGCACCCCCAGACTTCCATCCCACAGGGAGTTACCATTCTCTGCCCCTCTCCATAAGATGTCTCCACCTCACTTTTTATCTCCAGCTCCTGCTTGCAGTCATGTCTTTGATCAGCATCCTGGAGGATATCTCCTTTGAGCATTCTGGAGGGGAACAGATGCAGTCCAGCTCTCACAGGACTTCCCTGATGAATCTTGCCCTTCTGTGTGTCACCCATGGTCCTGTCACCTGCTGGAGTGAACAGAGGAACTAGCAATGAATAACCCCCCTGCTTCTCTGAGGGAGAAGTCCAAACAAGGCAACCGCAGCACATCAGCTACCATTAGCTAATAGCAAAGGAGCCAGCCCCTCCGTATCTGCTCCAGGCAGAGAGAGGGCACGGAGACCTCTATGGGAGGGGAACGTGACCCAAGGACAGGCAGCCGCTGTTGCACAGGTCGCAAAAAGGGTCCTCTGTCAAAAAGTTACAGCCCTAAAGGACAAAACCTGTCACGTGCTTGTCCTCACAGTTCCCATGTCTAGCAGGGTTAGAGGAACGTCATCGCTGCTCTCCTCAACAACACCTACTGTAGCTGCTTCTCTTCCTGTTGCCTATGAATCACTGCTCTTCTTCCAGCATTCCCATGCTTAATCAGGGAAGGAAGCAGCCAGCACCACAGGAGTATCCACCCCTGCCAAGTAGACTATTTTCTTTCTTCTTTCCAGTCATAGCCCTTTTCCTTAAAAAGAAAGCGCTATGTATTCTGCAGCAAATTGTACGTAGATTTTGTCTACAGAACAGATAGGCAAGTGGAAAGATAAACTGTTTTATTAATCAAGCACGGAAATGAACCATTAGACTGAAACATTCAGAGCGTTCTGATTTTTTATTAGTTATAAGGGGAACACACCTCAGAAATGGATGCTGGAGTGTGAGGTAAGCCGATTAGCTGGATGGAACTGCTTACAGAGTTAACATCATCCTCTTACGTGTGGAAGGTCAGAATATGAGGTGAATGCAGCAGGATAAATCGCTCAGGTTTGGTTTCAGGCAATCTGCAGATATTGGAAGACACCACCGCACTGGTTATACTGATTCCCAAAGTTTTGTTTACAACACTCAGGGCTGAAAAACATTTGCAGCACAAATGAAGGTACAGCACTGGCCCGAGGCATGCACCTCAAGGCAGAAAACCAGTACGACATCAGAAACATTGTCAGTGTGAAAGGAAGAAAAAGCCACACTTTGGTTAGCTGTGCTTTCTGAGTATAGTCTTTGCTGAAAACACACAGGATTTAATTCCATTTGGATAGGGTCTTTTTGAGAGGATATTAGATACCCCAAGAGTGTGTTTCATTTTTATCGTACCTTGCCCACAAATCCTCCTGAAAGCAGAATCATTACAGTACAGGAGCAACGGAGGCAGGATGAGTGTGCAAAATGCAGCACAGCACACACCAAATTTTCAGCACTCAGCTCTTCGCTCCCCTTCCCAGATATGTTCTGTTCAGTTTCTCACCTGGGAAGCAAACTCTCTGCTCTCTTGGTGTTCCGCTGCTTCTGGCCACAAAGCTGTTTCTCATCACACCATCCAGGACGTTTAAACCATCAGTGACTGAAGATCCTGATCAGAGAAAAGAAAATAGATGTAATAAATACCCATTGTAGTAGGAGTGCTGTAGAGTGAGATTACAGGAGCATAAGTATTGGAGACAAAAGCAACCTAGACCAGAGGAAAATGACACCCAGAAACGTGAGTCAGGGTCACTGTCTGTCCTGCCACGCACACCACAACACTGCTGTTCAGGTGCAGTAATCAGGGCCAGCTCATGTAGCGAAGCCAGGGTCAACTACACATGCTGCAGACAGCTGCCTGCCAGCTTGCTGCCTTTTCACAAGTGTCACAATGTTCCTTCTGCTGCACTTTAAGCCCCAAAATGCATCCCACTGAGTTTGATATAAGAAAAACATCAATTCCTCAAGCCACTTTCCCTCCATCTCCTTTCTTCCTAGTGAACTAAGAAAGAACATAATCTGTTTAATGCAGTTCAGCAGTTCTGGTAGAGGGAAAATGCCAGCTTCACAACTGGGCTGCTCTCTGTGTCTGCCTGGATGCAGACAGTGTACTGCCTTTACCCAAGGAGTATTTTGCCTGCTTGCTCTCAGTGGCTCAGCCAGGCATGCGTAGGTCTGGGTGAGAGAAGATAACTTTGGTCTGCTCACGTGTTACCAACAGGAGCAGTCCAAAGGCAGGATGGCCTGCCCTGTGCTCCAGAAAAATGGCAATTTGGCTGTCTTGCTCCAGATGGAGTTCACAGGGCTGGCAGCGAGCAGGAAAGCAGTCACACGCACCTGTTAATGCATGAACACCAAGGTGATTTAGTCTGGCCAGTTCTGACAGCCAACACACAATCCCACTTCTCAAGGATCTCTGTTCAGAGCAGAAGTGTGCTGCGCGGGAGTGGGGTTTGTGGGACACAAAATTAGGTCACTCATTTAGCTTCAGCACTATATTTGTGCAGTGGCATTTCTTTAGAGGCATTTTAAGATGATGAGGGCTCAGTGATATCCTAGAACTGTACAGGTTAAAGAAAGAAAATGCTAAAACCTGCACATGGGAATGCCTGCTCTGCAATGGAGTTTCACCTTTCTGGTCATGTGGATGCCCACTGTGCCACTAGAAGTAAGTAAAATTACTTACAACCAGGTGTTCACCAGTAGAAATGAAAAATAAATGTAAACCAGCACCTTTTGCTTTCAAAACGAGAAAAACCGAACTGGATGCTCAGTGGCGTACCAGAGGAGGGTACCACAATAGACATCAGCTGCCAGACGCTCCCAAGGACAGAGGGAAGATTTCCCCACCTGTATAATGCCATCACGATAAAAGAAGCCCCCCAGTCACATGGAGAGCTGACATTCTGTTGGCTCTGCCTCAGCTTGGAGTCACACCCTTCCTGCTCCCTGCTGCCTACTCCACAGTGGATTCAGTGGGTATCCCCCACTGGGGAGACAGCGTTTCCAATCCTCCCAGCACCAGGCAGCTGCTGCAGGCTTTGATCCCAGGTAAAACGCATGGAAGCCAAGGCTTCCCTCTATACTAACCCCATCCATCTCTGAGGCAGTGCCACTGTGACCCTGCTGAACCATCCTCCTGATTTTAGGAGGAGAGAAACGTCCTTCTGGTTCAGTCCCTGCTGTTGCTCAAGGTGAGCATGTAGTCAAAACAGGCACCCTAAAATGGTGGGTGCGCACCTACAGAAAGATGTAGGAGACAGCTGATGTTGTGCAGAGCCAGGCAGGTTGTGAGACATGGCAGAAAAGGACATTGTGCAATGGGTGGTAAAGATCTGTCCCTCAACCATATGGGAAACCTGAAGCGCCACCAAGCACCAGACAGGGATGAGGTGCCAGTCTCCAGAACAACCATGTTTGGATAAAGCCAAGTCCCCAGATAGTGTCCTGACTGATAACCCAGTCTTACAAGGCTGAATGAGGAACAAGAACCTGTAGCATGGGAAGGCAATGGGCCACACCAAGGTCCTGTGATGGCAGACAGACAGAGTCCCTAAAGGGGCTGCCCCATGAAAGAAGTAGCTGGCCAGGGATGGGAGAGACACCACTAAGACCACAAACCTGGGAGGCAGGAGGGGCATGGAGAACAGAAAGCTGCAGTGGATATCAACCTGAGAAAATCAAACATACTCTGTGAGGACTTTCCTCTGAGTCTGGACCTAGTGTCACAGCAAGGAGGGCAGACCCTGCTATGGCAGGAAGTGGCCTGGGTCCGAACCCAGCCTCATTCAGCAGGCTGAGTCCCCTGCTGCCTTCCCCAACACAAAAGCCAGTGCCAGGTAGGGCACAGACCCAGCGGCAGGGCAGAAGGGGAGGCAGAGGGGAGCATGGGCAGGAGGAACAGTTGGAACTCAGGTGTTTGTGATGTCATCAGATATTCCACTGCTGCTGGTGAACCCGGTGTGGCAGGATGAGGACACAGGCAGGTGGGCGAAGCAGTGGCAGCAGTGTGTCCCAAGCTGTTAGAGGCATCGCTCATGGCGTGATGTCAGCCACACAGGCTTGTCTGGTTTTGTTTGGTGAGTAGGACACATCTCTCAAGCAAGGCTGTGAGGAACAGCAACCAAACCAGCTGCTCTCTACCCCTCCCCGTCACTCCTCAGCTTTAGCAATTGAGGGCAAGAGGAAAAGACAGGAGGGAGCACCCCTGAATGCCTCAGGTGCAAAGAGATTAAAACTTTGCCAGTATTCCCTGATTGGAGCTCATATTTTATTCATCAAGGAGGGCCAGAGAGTGATCTAGGAGCCAGGGAGGAGGACTCGGAGCTGGATGTAGTGGGCTGAGGCTGGAGCAGAGGTGGGGATTGGAGATTTGATGATGGGGACAGCTGGGTGGGTAAACCAGACATGAGCACAGAGGTACAGATGTAGACGTGACTTGCAAGGCCAGAAGGGAAGAGCTATCCAGGTGAAGTGACAGGAGAAAAGAGGTCTGAGGGAGGACCTTGACTAAAGACAAACAGAAGGGGATATAGCTGGAAGAAACGGACAGAAAGGCCAGGCTGCTCTGGCCACATCCTAGCAGGTGACCCTCGAGGGGTCCACTATCCCCCAGTCTACTCATTCCCCTGCCTTCTGCAAACCCACACATAGTCACCTGGCCAAGTGTGGTGTTCTCCTCTCCTACTGCCTCACCGAGTGCTCAATAACCCCTGCTGTCCTCCTGGGGGGAAAGATTACATGCTTTTCTTTGATCCTGCTGCATCTACAGACATAGAGGTGTTAATAAGTTGGCATAGCTGTTAATAAGACATAGGCCATGAGGAAGCTTTTAAGTTAGTTTTTAACCAAAAAAAACCCCAATGTCCTATGCTAAGAGAACATTACAGAGGTTGCAAAGTCAAACTTTGAGCATGCCTGAATCACATGCATTTTGTATTGTTAGATTTGTTCCCCCTGGGCATAGGCATGATGACCCAGCTCTTTAATTACCTAGCTTCAATGTTTTTACATGGGTTTCAGCTTCTTTAGTCCCTTGGATGAACACTGCCTTTCTGATGAGCAGCTATTCAGTATGTTGTGTCACCCTTATCATTCAGTGTTTGACTCAGATTTATTTACTTGATCCCATTTGAATTCTGCTGTAGACAGGATGACTCATTTCCTCATTAACTTCTTACATACTCTATGTTTTAGAGCTTTACAGCTATTAATTGGTTTCTAGTGATTTTACAAATGGCAAAACGAGGGCAGAGAGGAATTAAAGTCTCAAACATCTGCTACTTTTAGAATCTCAGTTTGAGCTACCTCAGCCCTGGCTTCTCAGAATACGTATGCTAATGTAGCACTTACTTGCCGTTCAAAATACACCACACACAGACTCCAAAACAGCAAGAGAGCTCAGCATTCCTATAAACAGCAACCCACAAGGTAAGGAAAATGCCATTAATAACACACTAAGAAACCTGGTACTTGCCTAGCACCACACAGGAGCCTCTGTGGTGTAGCCAGGAATAAAACTTCTTTGAAGAGTATCTACGTAATTATCCTTGCAGCATCTTCCGGACTCATTCTTCCGTGTATCTTCCAGGTTGTGGGAAATGAGGCAGATGTCCTGAATATAGTGTTTAACCTGGGAAGCCAACCCCCTCACAGAGCAGGTGCAGTCTCTACACTGAGGGAGCTACCAAGTCTTTAGGAAGGAAAAGTAGGTTGCTGTGCGCTTAAAAGAACGTATAAAAAGCATATGCAAGGGGAGATGAAATTAAGATTGCACATGAAGCTTTTATTTTTGGGCACACCTAACCTCCAAAAGTTCGATTTCATGAGCTTTCATAATGTTCTTCACAGGGAAGAACTGGCTTTAAGTTTTGCATAAGGGCTCAGTGAATGCTTGGACCAGTGTAAGAGCACACACACATCCACTGGAGCATGCTCCATTAACTTGAGGGGTTTGGACCCAGTTATGTGGAGGAAGAGAATTTGCAGAGGCTGAAATCTAGATAGGAAACAGTTCCCTTGCTCCACCCTGACAACAGAGCAACATTCCCAGTTCCAGCCATGATTTCCAAGACATTTCTCCCAATTCAAGATTTGAATCTCTAGAGCTTTGGTGAAGGTCCTTCAGCAATGTACTGCCACCAAATGCTACACCCCTTTCCACATGGGCAGAGAATGTCTTCCCCAAGGTCTAGACCTCCCATCTTGAGCCTGTTACTGCATTTCCCATTTGTTGGATCCTGCACCCAGAGAAGGCAACAGAGATCTGGGTTCAGCCCTCCAGCTCCTCCGAGTGTGCCATGGTTAGCATTTCCTGTGACTCCCTGCATTTTATTTTTCACCAGTGCTCTTGGGTTTGGGCTGCAATGCCAGCCCCCATGGCGGGAAGGCGCAGCAGCCTGGAACACCACTCTCCGATGAAGAGTACCTCCAGTTCTTCAGTTTCATGCTGACAGCAGGCCGTGCCACCACAGCCTGCCTCCTTCGCATGCAGTACGGCTGCCAGTACCCCCTGGTCCAGAGGCTGGATGCGTATGAAAACCACGGAGTCATCCCTGAGGGTAAAGACAACCGTGATTCCCAAGGGCAGGCAGATGGGTGGGTAGGCATACCCATGGCCAGCACTGAGCTGACCACTGGGAGAGATGGAGACTCAAGAGCTGGTGGGCAAGAAGGGTGGATAGCAGTCCTGCAGTGAGAAGACATCTGCTTGTGAGCATCCTCTCTCACACTTAATTGCATCTACGTGTCCTTAGGACTAGCCTCCTCTGATACCTAGGGTCATGAAAATAACCAGGAAGTGATGGGAGTTTCTCACCTGGGTTCAGGGAGGCACCCAAATGGCCATGGGGCTTTTCATGGAGCGATGTCCTTCCACAGTGAGGTTGTTGCTGAGGGCCGGTGTGACCCCGGTACTGGAGTTTATAGCTGACTCTGTCTTTATTTGTGTCTTTCTAGGGCCTGTATGCTCTGAACTGCCAAAAAGTCCTATCTTTCCTGACTTCTGCACCTTTTCTTTTTATCGCTGTACTAAGAAAAAGTATTTCATTAAGGTGAGTTTTTTAGCTGTTTCCTGAACACTGTGGTATGCTCTGGGCAAGCAACAGGCAAAAGGGGGTGCCCTGGAAATAAGGAAGTGGGAAAACAGGAGGAAGGCTAAAATACAGGGAAGACCCAAGAGAGTTATGGGCAGCCCACCTTCCAGGGGCACTCACACCAAGCTGACTAGCTTACACAGATGGCACCTGCAGCCACTTGCCAACAAAGACACTTTGAAGAAGGTATTCTTCAAGAAAATGAACCTTTGAGGTTCAGCCCTTAGCTCCACCTCTCATTCCCAACCTCGTTGAGACTATCTATATAGGTTACTGCAGGAGAAAGGGTGATTCATGCCGCCTAGAAGAGAAGGAAAGTAAAGACAACTGGGAGTCACAAGGAGACATTTATGGGGAGACTTGAGAAAGAAAGGAGCAGAAGGTTTCTTTCCTTTCTTGGGCTCATCTTTGTAGGAGTGGGAAAGATGGGACTGTGCAGTGAGTGCTAACCCCACAGAACAGCAGGGTGTCTAGCTGCCTGCTCCTGAAGCCCACTGCCTCTATAGGGGAGTGTTTTCTCTTCCACAGAGGATTGCGTGCCCAGGAGACAGCAAAGCCAAGCTGGACAGCACACGTGCCTTCAACGACATGAGCACTAATGCTGTGTCGTCCAGCATCTTCAGTACCGACCCCCTTCTCCGTTTACGTTCCAAAACCGCCCAGCCAAGCCGCTCCAGCCCTGACAAGGAAGTAGTTGTCAGGGCTCCAGCCCTGCCAAGGAAGATCCCCTCCTCCTTACTTGCAGGCATGCCACAGTCGAAGCGCATGCAACTAAATCCTTCTTACCCACATGCCACAGAGGTGAGAGCCGGTGGGCAGCAGCAAGGACAGGTGCCCACCACTGACATGCAGGATCTCCTCCTGAGGCTACAAGATACCCAGGTGCAGAGTGCACTGCAGAGACTTAAGTTGCTGGCCACGGGGAAAGCAGTGCCGGAGGAAGAGTTACGGAGCGCTGCCTGGAAGCTGCTGGTGGCCCTGAACAATGCAAGAGTGCCTCAGCAGGCAACCGGCACTGATAAAAGGCACAGAAGAGAGAAGTGAGAAGCCAAGGAGGATCAGCCATTGATGCTCTGCTACACGGTATAGAAACAGATACATTGTCTGAGAGGAGACATATGGGAACAAGGAAACAAGAGAAGGTGGGCAAGAAGGGTGGATAGCAATCCTGCAGTGAGAAGACATCTGCTTGTGAGCATCCTCTCTCACGCTTAATTGCATCTACGTGTCCTTAGGACTAGCCTCCTCTGATGCCTAGGGTCATGAAAATAACCAAGAATTGATGGGAGTTTCTCACCTGGGTGAGCATCATGGTCAACAGTGCTTCCCCAGGCCAAAAGTGTGGGAGACCCAGATACGTGAAATGGTATTGCCCAGCATTCAAAGAGAAAGATGTTATCTTCTTGGAAATAACTGTATTGAAGAGATAGTGTACTCTCTCACAAAAACTGTTCACTTGCTGGAGTTCAGTTTTGGAGATGGCTGTTTTGAACAAGGCATGATGGAAAAATAATCCGTTTTTCCTGCTTAGGGTTGTGTCACCATATCTGGCTCTCTGTCCTGGGCAGAGAGATGGGGTTTGTTGTGTCATTCAATGAATGCTACAGGAAAACGCTGGCCAGTCTTCATCAAATATCAGCGTTCATGCTCAGACGCATTAGGGGAAGAATCTTCTTTGGAAGCATGTGTGTGAATACATATGTATATATATATAT